TCCCAGTTCTGGTCCTGCCCTGGCCCAGCCTTAAGTGGGCACTGTACTACCATGTCTCTGTCCTGCTCAACCTGACCATGCCAGGGCCCTGCCCTGGCAGTCCTGTCCCTAACTTGACCATGCCCCTGTCCCTGTCCCTGTCCCTGGTCCTGCCATGGCCCTTACCCTGACACTGGCTCTACCATAGTTCTGCCCCTGACTTGGTCCTGGCTCTGGCCCTGTGTTTTTACCTGCCCTAAACTTTCATTTTCCCTGTTCTACACTGACACTGGCATGCCATGGCACTGCTCTAGACATGGTCTCAGCATTTTGCCTGGTCCTGCCCTGTCCCTGCCCTAGACCTGGCTCTGCACTGCCTTGCCCTACCATTCCCTGGTCTGTCCTGGCCCCATCCTGATCCTAACTTGGCCCTGTGCTACCCTGTCCCTTCTGTACTCTTTCACTGGCCCTCCCCTGGTCCTGGTCCTCCCCTGGATCTGGGCTAGCTCTGTCTCAGCTCTGGCCCTGTGCCTTGTCCTAACTCTAGCAAGGACTGGCATTTGAGTAAATTTTAGTTCTAAAAGGTGCTATGGAAAAAGAAGGCTGACATTAAAATGACGACACATTTTTAAAACAAAATCTTACTTTAAAAAAGTATTTAAGCCAAAAATAAAATATCATAGAGACTAATTTTGTGAGTTAAATTATTTTAAAGTTGTCTCTAAAATGCAGTATGGGAAATTATGGGTGCAATGGAAACAAGCTACAGTGTCATTTTTGTTTTGTGGCTCATAAAGAGGCCTGGGCCCTGACTCCCCCAAGGCTTCCACATCCCAGGTGCTGCAGGGCCTGCTGAGGTGAAGTAGCTGAGCTGGTAATAGGAGAGTGCACCCCACCACATGCCCCAGTTCTCTGCCCTCCCAGCCCTTGCCTGGCCAATTACCTTTTCTTCCTCTCACTCTTGTCCAAGCCAGGGTTTGTGAGCATGAGGATGAGCTGCTCTCTGGGGACTGTGCACTGCCACTACCAGGCAGCTCTGTGGAGCTTGCCAAGATCTTCCCAGGGTCATCCTACCCAGGCTCCAAGAAGGTGTTGTCAGTGTGCTCTGCCTCACAGCTCAGGTAATCCTTGCTGCTCCTCCCACAGTGGGAGATGCAGCAGTAGCACCACTTGCCCATCTTGCTCCCAATGCCTCATGGCAGATGCTCCTGCCTTCAGAGAAACCTCAGGCCCCACCTGCTTTTTACAGCCTTGGACACTTCAAAAACAATGGATCATCTCTGCCATCACCTCCATACAGGAAATGCAGGGTTTCCAATCTGCTCAACTATGAAGCAGCATTGATATAAGAATCTTAAAATCAAACAAGAATGAAAACGTATACAGAAAGTCTTACATAGAGTGGAATCACCAGCAAGGACATACCCTCTACAAACTTCCCAAGCAGAAAAAAAACTTTTAGTTACATGATACGATAACCAAAATATATAAAATTAGTCACATAAATTTGAAAAAGTCCAGTTTGTTTGTGAGATAATGGTATAAAACATGTTATTTTTCATCAAAATTTGAAATAAGTTGGGAATCTCTGCAGCTCAGCCACCGGCTGATGCATTGTCACAAAGCTGCACTCCAACCTTCTCACTTCTGTGTCCTAATTTCTTCCCAGGTACACCTGATGAGTTTGAGCCTCAACAAGGAACTCAAGGAAGTGCCAACTAAAACATTGAAGTATCTTTGCCTGGCTATTTTGCAAGATTAAAAGAACTGATAAAGTTTACTGTTGGTGAAAGCGACATGCACTCTCTTGCTAACCCTCAACCCTCACTAAACCTGACCTCATGCCACTCTTCCCACAATCTCAGGTATGTCCCATTTCTGCTAAATTTCATCCTCCAAACTTCTAACCCTTAATACTCTAAATACAAAACCAACCTATAGACAATCACATCTCCAATTTAATATTAAATTATACTAGAAAATGAAATCACAAGAACAAAAAGGCATGGATCAATGTCTAGCATAATTATAAAATTAATAATGCTCAACAAAATGATCAAAATTTGATACTTTTCTCAGAAAACAAACACTACATCCTTTTCTCAGAAAATCAATCTGGTTTTGCATACTAAGGCCATCCCCGCAAATAAACCTCAAATAACCAGAATGAAAAAACCCAGATATTCATCTCCATAGATGCAGGAAGTACTTTCCACAAAGTCAACACCATTTTGTCATAAAAACACCCAACAAACTAGGGATAGAAATTTTTGTTAACACAGCAATCAGCTTTTATGCCAAACCCATAACTAGAACCATCTCCATTGTTAGGGTCATATATGACAAAAACACAGCTAACATCATAAACAATGAGGAAAAGTTAAAAAGCTTTTCCTCTAAGATCTGAAACAAGTGTGGCTACTTTTACCACTTTTATTCATCATAGCAATAGAAGAGCAATTATACAGGAGAATGCAAAAACAAAGGCACCCAAATTGGAAAAAGGGAAGTCAAATTGTCTCTGTTTGCAGGTGAAATGATCACATACATATAGAAAGAAAACCCTAAAGATTATGCAAAAAAACCTACCAGAAATAATAAATTTACTAAAGTTGAAAGACACAACATCAATATACAAAAATGAGTAGCACACCTATGCGCCAATAGTGAAACGCCTAAGAAAGAAATCAAGAAATCTACTTCATTACAGTAGCTACTACCTCCACCAAAAAATGATACCTCGAGATGAACTTAACCAAAAAGGCAAAAGATCCCATAATGAAAACTATGAAACATAGACAAAAGCTATTAAAGCAGACACATATAAATGGAAAGATATCACATGTCCAAGCACTGGAATAATATTGTTAAAATATCTCTATCACCCAGTTGCATCTACAGAATGAGCACAATCCCATTTAATTACAAAAGGCATTCTTCATAGAAATAGAAAATAAAATCCTAAAATTTATATGGACATGCAAAATACCTCAGACAAAAGAATCTTACATTAAAAAAAAAAAAGCTGGAAGCATCACACTACCTAATTGCAGAGTATACTACAAACCTATAGTAACCCAAACAGCTGGAACTGGCACAAAAAGGGGCAAGGGAGAGAAATAGACAGAGATAGATGAATGACAGACAGACATAGACTAATAAAACAGAATAGAAAACTCAGATATAAATTCACGCATTTACTATCTACTCATTTTTAACAAAGGCACCAAGAAGACATCTTTGGGAAATACAGTCTTCAATAAATGGTGCTAGGAAAACACCACACCCACATGTACAAGAATAAATCTAGAGCATTATCTTACCATATACAAAAATCTACTGAAAATAAAGATTTAAATGTAGGACCTGAAACTATGAAACTACCAGAAAAGGAAAATAGGATAAATGCTTCATGAAATTGGTTAGGACAAGAATTTTTCAAATAGACATTAAAAGCACAAGCAACAAAAGCAAAAATAGACAAATACAATTACATTAAATGTAAACGCTTCAGGAAAATAAAGGAAGGAATCAGTAGCATGAAGAAACAATCCAGAAAATGGAAGAAAGTATTTACAAACTATGCATGAGGTGGCTACCTCATGCAAAGGGCAGAGGAGTGGGGGGTCGTGAGAACGGGTGTGAGCACTGACAGGGGAAGTTATATTAGGGCTTTGGGGAGGAGGAGGAGGAGAAGAGGGAGGAGGGAGTTGAGGCCTCACATAAGGAGGGGAGTTGGTAAAGTGGGTGGGGCAAGACAGGTCTTCTGGCTCTTTGGAGAGTGCAGAACCAGGCAGGGCTGAGGGCAAAGATAGGGTCTTGGCTAATAGAACCTGGGCGGAGGAACAAGAGGAGCAGAGGGCAGGTTGGGAGCGAAGGTATCAGAAAGCCTGTATGTAGGGGACTTCTGACCATTTACTGTTCTTTTGGCAGAAGTTGTCTAATTCTGTCAGGACATTAAAGTTGAGTGTGCCCTCTGGAGGCCACTTAGACTGGTTGTCTAGGGGGTACTGTGGCCAGGCCACAGTGGAGAGGAAGAGTAGCCTTTTCTTTTTAATGGAGAGACCCAGTTTGGGTAGATTTTTTGCTAGGCATCCCAGCGGCAACTTGGGGTCTGTGCGAGATTTCTGATTGCCCATAGTTCACTTTTTGTGGGGTAGCCAAGGGTAAGGAAGGAATATAAAAAGGTATTATACCCAACCCAGGCATAAGTATTCTTTTCCCGGAGGGGGTGGCTGAGAGAGCTTACAGGCTGTAACAATGTAACAATTATAACAAGAAAGAGAATAAAAAGAGAGAGAGAGAGTAAGGCCTCAGTAGTAGAAGAGGAGGAAAAAAGAAAACAGAGTTACTTAATTAACGAGAGCTTATATGCCAAAAAGCGCTGATCTGAGAATTTGAAATAGACGTTTTAGTACCGTAAGCTGGAGATTTGGTCCTGCTGTTAGGCAGGGCCTGGGTCTAGAAACGAGGCTTCTGAATACCTGAACCTTGGCTGCTGCTGTGGAGATGTTCAGAAGGCATCCCGGGCTGCACTATCGAACACCGGAGAGGGTTCAGGAAGATAGGGATGTCTCCCTCAAATTCCTGACCCCCAGAATCCCCTCACAGGGAGAAGACAAGAGTGTAGGGACATCTCTATGCTCAGGTTCTCGAGACAAGACCAGGGCCCCAGGCCCATGGCAAGATGAGGCCGAGGCCCCCGGGCCCACGGGACCCTTGGCCCATGGCGAGAAATGAGGAGGAGTCCCTGATGCAACTTTGGTTACCAGCAGGGAGTCCATGAGAATACAAGAGGGTTCAGGAAGGTGGGGACATCTCCCTCAGAATCCTGACCCTGAGAAACCCCTCATGGGGAGAAGACAAGAGTGTAGAAACGTCTCCTCTACACGCAAGTTCTCGAGATGAGGCCGGGGCCCTGGGCCCATGGCGAGACGAGGAGTTCCTGACGCAGCTGCGATTGCGAGCAGGGACTCCACGAGGCAGGCAGAGGGAGAGGCAGCGGGTAACAGAACTCTTACCTTGTGATGGAGCGGTTCCCTGGTCCGGCTTTGGGTGGAGGAGTCAGTTTCCCCCAGGAGGGGTCTTATAATTCCTCCCGGGTTTCCCCACCACTTGCAAGATTGTTTCTTTTGCGACGTTTATTGCCGAGTTTAAAATGAGGAAACTGAGGCCTGCATGAGAACAATTAGACACCAATTTATTTGGCTCTCGGGGGAGGTTCTGTAGTCTCCGGGAAAGACCCGACTCCTCTGGGCGTGGGGTTTTACAGTGAGTGAAGGTGTTTGGCTGTGGAGAAACAGAATGTGGACATGGCAAGCTGCTATAGGTAGGTAGGCGGGATTTCTGGACAGGGCAATGTGCTATTGGGCAGGTTTTGGCAGGGCTTTCCAAGGGTGGTCTAAGTGCCGAGTGCAGAGGGGATTTCCAAGGCAAAGCTAGATGATGGGCATTTTCTGGTGATATAATTTTCAGGTGCGGAGAGGGTTGGGCATGTCCGCTGAGAGGGTTGAGCTCCTGGCGAGGCAACCAGCCCTACAAAGGTTACATCCAAACTTGGTAGTTTAGTTTTGCCTGCTCTTTGAACTTTATATAAATGGAAGCATTTAGTTTGTTTTATTTACTTGGCTGCTTTCACTCAGTGTCATTTTGCAAGATTCACCGATGTTTTATGGAGCTGTAGTTTGTTCATTAGACATTGCTGAATAATACTCTACTATGAATCTAACACAATTGTTGTATTCACTCTCTCTTTTTTTTTTTTTTTTTTTTTTTGAGACTGAGTTTCACTCTCTTCACCCAGGCTGGAGTGCAATGGCTCAATCTCTGCTCACTGCAACCTCCACCTCGCAGGTTTAAGTGATTTTCCTGCCTCAGCCTCCCGAGTAACTGGGACTACAGGTGTGCACTACCTCGCCTGGCTAATTATTGTATTTTTAATAGAGATCAGATTTCACCGTGTTGGCCAGGCTGATCTCAAACTCCTGACCTCAGGTGATCTACCTTTCTTGGCCTCCCAAAGTGCAGGGATTAGATGTGAGCCATCATGCCCAGGCTTCACTCTCTTTCTGATGGGTATTTGTCTCCAGTTTACAGCAATTATGAATACTGCTGCTATGTTTTTTTTTTTTATGTCTTCAGTTTTACTTAGTAATGCCAGATTAATTTTCAAAGTGGTTGCACCAGTTTAGATTTTTAACAACAATGTATGAGAATTCCTGCTTATCCACCTCTTTGCCAAGGCTTAGAATTGTAAATCTGTTAAATTTTAACCATTTTGATAGGTACATAGTGGGTTTTTGTGTGTAACTGAGGTATATGTCATACACAGTAAAATGTGAAAATGTGCAGCCTAAAAGAATATTTTGCATATAAATGTATCTATGTAACCACTACCCAGATGAAGATACAGAATATTTCCATCACCCCAGAAAGTTCTCTCATGCTCTTTTCCAGAAAGAAGCTGCTATTCTATCCACACTGTTTTGACTTTGGCTACTAAACATGTGTTTTGCTTGTTTTTGAACTTTATATAAATGAGCTCAGACAGTATGGACTCTACTTTGTCTGGCTTCTTTTTTTTAGCATAATGGTTTTTGCAATTTATCCAAGTTGTTGGTTACTCTTTTTTTCTTGCTAAGTTCTGTTGTATGATTACATTACACTTTGTTTATTCATTTTCTTAATGATTGTTTCTAGGTTTTGGATATCCTGAATTAAGCTGCTATGAACGTTCTTATATCGACTTATTTCTTTTGGGTATATATCTAGGAGTGGATTTCTGGGCCATGGGGTAGGAGAGTATTTATTAGAAACAACAGAACTGTTTTTCAAAGTGGTTGTACTAACTAACACTCCACATTGGTTTTAATTTGCATTTCCCTGAATTCTACTGAGGTTGAACAGCCTTTTATATGTTGTTGTTTTGGCCATTTATATATCTTCTGTTTGAAGAGCTCATTGAAGTCTTTTGCCCAATTTTCTGGTAGGTGTTCTTTGTTTTATTGGTTTGTATAAGGGATAAATATACTGATCTCCTCCCCTCCCTGCCTCATGTGTGTTGCAGCTATCTTTTACTAGCTAGTGGCTAGCCTTTTTATTCTCTCAGAGGTATCTCTTCGCTAACAGAAACATTTTTAATTTTTGTTTTTAAATATTACAGATACATAATAACCATACATGTTTATGGGGTTGATGTGGTATTTTGATGCAAACATACAATGCATAACTATCAAATTAGGGTAGAGTACCCCATCACCTGAAGCGTTTATCATTTCTTCATGTTATGTCACCTGGGTGACATAGCGAGACTTCATCTCAAAAAAACAAAACAAAAAAAAAATGAATGAATGATAAAAAATAGAGTGAATCAGAGCCATCTTCATATTTTCCTCCTAAATCATCTATTTTCCCTAAAAAATTTTTTGCACCCCCCCAAAAGAAAGCCATTTTTCCTTTATGACCCAAGAGAATGTGCTGTAATAACCTTGTAATATGTGCAAATGTGTAGCCACATACAGTCATCCCCAGCTGTTTGGCTGCCTTCGTTTGCAGCAGACAGTTGTGCTGGGGAGGGGCGCAGCATCGGCATGTGTGTGAGTGCCCCATCCTCCCCCTCCTCTCATTGACTCTCATTGCCTAATCCCCTGTGTCTTGGCCACAGGTTGATCATCCAGGGCTACCACCAGCCCCTGGAGAGCAGTGGTCTCAGGTTCTTAAACAAGGAGGACACATCGGAACAAGTCATGGCTGCTTTGGTAAAAAACTGGAAGAAATGCACCAAGTCAGTGTGAGTTTCCTTGTCCTCTAGGTTGCCCTGGTTTTCTTCTTCTTGCCCTGTGGCCTGAATCCAGGCTGCAGCCCTGGCAGTGCGCTTGTTACTAGCTTTGTGGTTCTCGCTTCTCCTCTGAGCCTCTGTTTTTCTGCTAAATGGGGTAAAATCTCACAAGTCATTAAGGCAACTGAGTAGAGAAGAAGAGAGCAGCTGGGCATGGTGCCTCATGTCTGTAATCTCAGCACTTTGGGAGGCCAAGGCAGGTGGATCACAAGGTCAGGAGTTTGAGACGAGCCTGGCCAACATGGTGAAACCCCGTCTTTACTGAAAATACAAAAATTAGCTGGGTGTGTTGGTGAGCACCTGTGAACACAGCTACTTAGGAGGCTGAAGCAGAAGAATTGCTTGATCCTAGGGGGCGGAAGTCATAGTGAGCCAAGATCGCACTACTGCACCTCAGCCTGGGAGACAGAGTGAGACACCATCTTAGAATAGAAAAGAAGAGAGAAAAACGCTGCCCAAGCAGGCAATTGATGCTGTTTGCCATGGCATGTGACTGTCTCTCCTTGAGTCAGTCTAACCTTTTCTGTCTGTTTCTGAGCATCTGGCATCCTGCGTGTTACTGCTGTTTGAAATGTTTCTGTCCAACACACCCAGCTGCCCATGTACATTTATTTAGCCAAAGAAGCCTCATTTGCGTGTGATTTGGGCTGTACTGGATTTTAGACTCTACCCACTATGTAAGCTGTGCCCCACTGTGCCGCCTCTAACATTCTTTTGAGAATCAGGTCAGGGCCTCCACTGCACCTACCCTAACTCTTCAAATCTGAGACACCATCAGTTGCATGATACATTATGATTGTGTGTAACAGTAAGAAAGAAAAACAACTGGCTGGGTGTGGTGGCTCACACCTGTAATCCTAGCACTTTGGGAGTCTAAGGAGGGTGGATCACGAGGTCAAGAGATCGACACCATCCTGGCCAACATGGTGAAACCCCATCTCTACCAAAAATACAAAAAAAATTAGCTGGGCATGGTGGTGTGCCTCTGTAGTGCCAGCCACTTGGGAGGCTGAGGCAGGAGAATTGCTTGAACCCAAGAGGTAGAGGTTACAGTGAGCTGAGGTCATGCCACTGCACTCCAGCCTGGCACCTGGTGACAGAGTGAGACTCTGTCTCAAAAAAAAAGGAAAGAAAAACTGCCAATTAAATAAGGATGTAAGACGCATCCCCAGCCCAGACAAGCTGGAATGTCAAATTGCAAGTGACATGGGGGCAGTAGGGTGGCTCTTTTTGTTTCTGTTTCTTGTTCTGGGGTAAGCTTACTATGGTAAGCTGTGACAGAGCCAGCCTGGTGCATTGGATTCTCCACAGACCTGTTGGTCTTACAGAGACAATTAGTAGACCCAGGTTCAGTTTCTCCTTCTATTCCAGGGATGCCCAGGATACAGGCCTTCAGTCAGACCCAGATGGTGGGTGGAAATCTGGGATATCCATGATGCCAGCCACTCGGACATCAGCAGAGGACCTCGTGACCGTGGTGGGAGGCTGTTTGGGTGGTCCAGGTGATGAGAGAAATTGTCTCATGGGAGATGGATAGAGCTTGGGCCTCCATGGCTGAGCATTGTATGGAAATGGCATATGTCCATGACACAGTTGAAGGTCATTGGCAGGCAGAGGTGGGGTCTCTGTTTATTACATGGAGACAGAACTAGTAGGATGGATGGATAAATGATAGATTGGTAGATGATAGTTAGACGATAGATGGAGAGATAGTGGATGGATACATGATACATGATAGGAGGATGGATAGATGATGGATGAGTGGATGGATTGAGGGTGAGAGGGGATCTACTAGGAAACTGGATCATGTCATTATAGAGAAGTCCTATGCTAGGCCAGCTGCAAGCTGGAGAACCTGAGAAGCTGGTAGTGTGGCTCAGTCCAAGTCCAAAGATCTCAGACCCAGGGAAGCTGATGGTGGAATTCTCAGTCCACAACCAAAGGCCAGAGAACCTGGAGTGATTAGGGTAAGTCCCAGAGTCCAGAGGCCAGGCAGCCTGGAGTTCTGATTTCCAGGGGTAGGAGAGGATGGAAACCTGGCTGCAGAAGAGCAATCACATGAATTTACCATTTCTCTTTTTCTTGTGTCTGGATCCTCTGCTGATTGGGTGGTGCCCAGTCAAAGGGGCGAGGATGGATCCTCCTTATTGAGTTCACTGATTCAAATGCCAGTCTCATCTGGAAACACCCTCACAGCCACACACTCAGAAATAACACTTTACCAGCCATCTGGATATCCCTTAACCCTGTCAAGTTGACCCCTAACATCACCTATCACCTGGATTCTTTCAGTCTCACCTGCAGTGTTCAACCTGCTATGAACGCCACATTTGTAGCATGGACTTCAGCATTCCTCATCACCAATGCCTCTGCTGATCACCTGGCTCAGCTTCCTTTCATGGAAG